TCAAAAAGGGTGTCCCAGATTTTTGATATCTGTTTTATATCTCTCGCTATTTTTGATCAAAGTTCGACGATTGCTTTTGGAGTGTTGTTTAAAGTAAAAAGCGTCATAACTTTGGAAAGAAATTAAATTTCAAAAATCGGAGACACTCTTTTTTGGGTCATGAGTTTCTTTTTAAACTCTCCAAATTTTAGAAAAATCGAATGAAATCCAAGGGCCTTTTAGCTTTTCGAAGTTGAAGTTTTAGCGGCAAATAAAGTTCGAGAAAATTGTGTTTCTTTGTTTGGAGCCGGAAGCTGCAGGGAGCCACGATGGTGTTGGCCAAAACACCTGGAGCCTTCCATTTTGTCATCACTTGTCATATTATCTGTTGTTCTGGACGATCGCAATGTAGGATCCTTTTACGAGGACAAAGGAGCATTTGGACTCAACGTTATTGCAAGCGATGGGACATTTCCGGTCTTGATAAAGTCACGATTTTGATTTGTCTCAAAATTTTGGTTTTTCCAATCAAAAACGGCAAGAAGTTTCACTAACATAAGAAAGACTAAAGTTTAAAGTTACGAAATTTCAGAAAAAAWTTTTTTTCRAGCAAATCGTCATTTTTCGTATCCTAATACCTTAAAAAGTTCTATTCCATGCTTATTTAAAACTTATTTTTCTTCCTYGTAGTTATTGCAATGAACGAGTTCTTAAATACACACCCAGTGGGGACAGAATTACAATGGCAATTACAAATGCAGCCTTTCCAGGTGAGTTATAGTTTTTGATAAAACTGGAATCCCTTTGGGTCCCTGGGCTGATTTTTTTTACGTTAGCGATGTCACCCTTTCTGCATCAAGCGTTAGATACTTTTCCTAACTCTATGGTAATTGCAAATTATTTTCTTGGTGTTGCAATCTTGAATGAAAATGATTCAGAAATGCTTTGTGCTGATRGGATCCCTGTTTCAAGTGTTTTCTGTTATTGGGCACCTTGTGTTAGACTCTTAAATCACCCTATATACTGTATCATGAATGTATAGTTCCAAACATTATCCATACCCCACTCACRGAGGAATTTTTTAAAGACACTCCCCTACCCCCTGGAAATTCCAATTTTCTTCCATACAAACTCAGTAATTTTCTCTGACCCCCCTACTCTTCGGAAATTCCAAATTCCTCTGTGGGGGTGGGTATGGATGATTTCTGGAACTACACAATACATCTTATTGTCATCCTAATGTCAATGTCATTTACTATTTTTATAGCTTCATTTCCTAGACCACATTCATTCAACATCCCTCACAGTGTCTCACTTGATGTTCAGCACAACCAACTCTACATGGCTGATCGGGAAAATGGCCGGGTCTTGGTCTTTGATTCTAAGAGTGGTAAATTACTGAATTCCCTTACTGGGTTTGGAAGCCGAGTATTTGCTGCTCATTATGACCCAGCTGATGGTAGGTGTTATGGAGGGGAGGGGAGGGGTGGGGTGGTTAGAGGTTTGCCACAGCCACGTGCTGGGGCAAGACAATAAAACTGGTTYTCTCTGGGAAAGGAAATGTCTTGTCACGTAGTCACATTGCATTGTCTCTGCCCTCCTAAATGGCTGATGTGACACGCCTCTATTGTCCTAAGAATCTTGATAATTATTTATTACATTTTAATTTACTTGTTGTCACAATTACTGTCTCATCGTTTGCCAGGAATTGAACCTGTTACCTTTATTGGGAAATGAGGGTGGTGTAGTATTGGTCCACTCCTCTTTCACCTTCGGGGTTGCAAAACCTAACAAACCTAACTCAATTACAATGACCTAGAAGTTGTTTTATGGTTCAATCTGTGTGTCAGCCAAGTCCTGTCTTAGATCAGCCTAAATGTCGTTTTGTGATTTGACCTGTGCCTTAGCCATGCCCTTAATAGATCACCCCAGAGGTTGTTTCAGGATTCAATATTTGAGTTAACCATGTCCTGACTTAGATCAGCCCAGAGGTTGTTTCAGGGTTTTAACCATGCCCTGACTTAGATCAGCTCAGAGGTTGTTTCAGTGTTTCAGTGTTTAGTAGTGCTGTGACTTAGATCAGGCTAGAAGTTGTTTCAGGGTTTTAACCATGCCCTGATGTTGATCAGCGCAGAGGTTGTTTCAGTGTTTGATCTATGTTTAGCAGTGCTGTGACTTAGAACAGGCCAGAGGTCATTTCTGGGTAGCGATAAAATTTGAAAAACCAATCTACTTACAAGAGGTGTTTACTCAGCAACTGGATATAGTGGTTAATAACTAGTTCCATTTGGTTATTGAGCATTTTAATTAATAGGTTCAAATGATCTTTTTTCAGGTGGCTTGCTTCATGTAGTGAATGGTGAGGATGGACAGAGTACAGTACAAGGCTACACCTTCAGTATCGCTGCCAAAAAAACTGTACAAACATGGAGACCAAAAGAGGTATATTAATACATGCAGCCATGTAATTCAATTAATAATGAATTAAATCAGGGAGGGTATTCAACAATATTAATGTTAAAAATCTTTGACAAGACTTAATTATTTCCAACAAACACACCCTGAGTGATTGCTCAGTCTCTGGAGCTAGATGTTTGTGATGAACTGGGAGACAAAGAACCCAAACAATACTATTATATCCTGTTTTGTTAAAAGACCAATATTAATGTTTTAGAGTGAGAATAAATAGGCTCTAGGCCCCAAGACCGGTACCCAAATAACAATCTTCATATCACAAGAAAAGAAAAGAAAAACTCTACTCACTTGTGATTCTATAGTAGGGATCAAACTGGAGTCATGGGTAGATCAACAGCAGTTCAAAGAACCTGATCTGCTTGCTTCTCACTTGAAATTTTACAGCTACTGACAAATATTTCATTCTACCAGTTCATCCTATTTTTCTTTTCATTCCTTTCTTTCTTCTTATCTAATTTTTTWATCTCATTTTTCATATAGGGCTTTACAGAACCCCATGATGTAGCATCTAACAGTCAAGGCAGTGCTGTTTATGTAGCAGAGATTGGTCCAAACAGAATCTGGAAATTTGTCCAAGCATAGACCATCTAGCAGGATAAAATGGGTACACATGTATATACACTCAAGAAGCATATACAAGCGTTGATAGCTGAATGGCTTTCTGCAGTATATACACATTATGGGAAAAAATGATTATATAATAATATTATAGAACTCAGACATACATGATTTATTTTTAAATAATATTTAACCATACAAGCCTGCATTTCTTTACTAGGGACTGAAGCTCACCATACATTACAAAAAAGAAAGCAGGTCATTATAATCCTTGTGGAGGGGAGGGGGGGAGAGGAAAAATTTGTCATGGCAAATAATTTTTCCTCCACTTCTGCAATCATTTCTGTTATGTCTATTTACTCTATGCAAAAAATTTTTTCCAGCATTTTTCCTCCCCGACCCCCTTCACCTCAATCAAAGGATTGGCCTTATCTAGCCGCAAAGCTCTATTATAGTCTTTGGGATCTTCCCAACACCTTGAGTCAAAATTAAGTTTAATGGCTAAATTATGAGATATAAAATATACTACAAATAATGAAATTCAAATTTAATTTAATGGCTGGTCCTTTAATTATATTAATAATATATATGCCTTTCAAGACAAGTGCAAAGGAATATGGTACTCCATGCCATTCTTCTAATTCTTTGGGGCCAAGTTCAACAATCGTTTAATATCTATATTTTCAGGCATAACATTACATTTTATAACCATTGCAATCCCAATCCCAATCAAGTTGTCAAAATAATTTATGTACTTTATGGAATTTTTAAAAAAATTAAGTCAAAATTTTCTGTTATTGATTGAAAGTATTCTGCAAAATTATATTTTATAACCATGGCAATCCCAAGCCAGTTGCCAAAATAATTTAATATGTACTTATCATAAGGGAATTTTTTAAAAAATAGTCAAAATTTTCTGTTATTAATTAAAAGTATTCTCTAGCAAGCTAAACACAAGAGGTTTAATATGCTTGATTTAAACTGTGAGGTGTCATTTGTGCCAAGAGGATCATTGCCCCACCAAATCCACCATGGCTGTAAATTGAGCCTAGAGGTTCCCTTGCTCCATTGTTACTTGGTGCTGTAACAGCTTGACTTGTCTCTTCCTCCCCATCATGTATCCTTGGTTCTACCAGCAGGGCTGTGACTTTATCCTCCCATTTGAACACTGAAGCAAGAGAATCTCTTGATATCAGTTTAATCAAGGTTAACATAACTTTTCGTTTCAGATCCACTTCACCCACCTAATATAAACAAAAAGTTGAAAACTCCTTGCCATAGGGCAACGTTTTACTTTTTAATGGGAAAGGGGAGTAAGAAATACAGTCACAAGTAGAGGTTAGCACGGAGTTACAAGAGGGATATCAATAAATTAACATGAATATAGTCGTACTATTACCCAGTATATCCAGATAGAGTGCTCACACTAAACCCGTGAAACAAATACTAATTTTTAGTACTAAATAGTGATAATCAAACAATAGGAAACAAAGGATTCTGTATGAATTACTACTAACTATTAGTACTAAATATTATTCACAGGTTTAGTGCGTGCATTCTAATATAAAATTCACACATAGAAAGTATTAACATTTAACATAGTTGGGAAGTTTATATTTATCTATGCAGTAGAGGTAGAGTGCAAACCATATAATTTTTCCATGAAATAGCACAAAAATAAAATAGCACTAAACACATGTCTTTCTTTCGTTTTGTACTAATTAGTATTATTTCATACTTATATGTTTTGCACTCTAGTATAGAAAATGATAATACTGCTTGGGGATTTCTATTTAAATGACTAGTTATAAAAGTGAAACTCTATGGACACCTAGAATACCCGATTGTGTCCATACTGACGGGTTATCTGTAGAAATGGGAAGGGGTAATAAATTAATAAAAGTGTAAATGCAATCCACTGGGACTAAAAAAAAGTGTCTGTCATATATAGTGGAGTATCCAAAGTAAGGGAGCTTTGAATGTCTCCGAAGAAAACTACTTGAGAAAGCACCATTACATCATTGAAAGCAATCCATTTATCAGTCAGACTAGATATCTAGCAATATACACAGACACGGTGCAAAAATGGAAAGCACATTCAAGTATAATAAAGAAATAGTGAATAATGGTGTTATCTACGGTTATCATTAATGCTTTTCTTATATTTGTTTCAAAAACATCAAATCTTTTCCAAACTTCTCATGTCTAAAAATGGTTAAAAATGACCTGTTTTGCCCCCTTCACAAATAATGGATAATGTTTGTGAAATTGGTTCAAAATTGATCAAAACCATGAGCTATAGCCCATGCTCTTTAGTCGAAAATGGCCACCCAAAAATGACCTATTTTGCATCCTCCAAAAATAATAGATATGTGAAAAGGTGTGAAAATGGTCATAAATAGATTGAAACTATGGGCTGTAGCCCATCCTTTTTGGTCCAAAAAGGCCAAAAATGACCTATTTTGCATACTTCATAAATATTGTATAATACTTGAAAAGGTTTGAAAATGGTCCAAAATTGATCAAAACCATGGGCTATAGCCCATGCATTTTAGTCAAAAATAGCCAAAAATGACCTATTTTGAATTTTTCATAAATAATTCATATCTTTTGAAAAAGTGTGAAAATGAGCCAAAATTGATCAAAACCATGGGCTATAGCCCATACTTTTTGGTCCAAAATTGCCGAAAATGACCAATTTTCAATTCTTCATAAATAATGGATAACATTTGAAAAGGTGTGAAAATGAGCCAAAATTGATCAAAACCATGGGCTATAGCCCATCCTTTTTGGTCCAAAATGGCCAAAAATGACCTATTTTCAATTCTTCATAAATAATTCATATCTTTTGAAAAGGTGTGAAAATGAGCCAAAATTGATCAAAACCATGGGCTGTAGCCCATGCTTTTTGCTCGAAAATGGCCTATTTTTCATCCTTCATAAATAATGGATCATATTTGAAAAGGTGTGAAAATGAGCCAAAATGGATTAAAACCATGGGCTATAGCCCATGCTTTTTGGTCAAAAATAGCCAAAAATGACCTATTTTGAATTCTTTATAAATAATCCATATCTTTTGAAAAGGTGTGAAAATGGTCCACAATTGATCAAATTTTTGGTAAAAAAAGGCCAAAAATGACCTATTTTGAATTTTTCATAAATAATTCATATCTTTTGAAAAGGTCAAAAATAGCCAAAAATGACCTATTTTGAATTCTTTATAAATAATCCATATCTTTTGAAAAGGTGTGAAACTGAGCCAAAATCGATCAAAACCATGGGCTATAGCCCATCCTTTTTGGTCGAAAATTGCCGAAAATGACTAATTTTCAATTCTTCATAAATAATGGATAACATTTGAAAAGGTGTAAAAATGGTCCAAAATCGATCAAAACCATGAGCTATACCMCATCCTTTTTGGTCCAAAATGGCCAAAAATGACCTATTTTGAATTCTTTATAAATAATYCATATCTTTTGAAAAGGTGTGAAAATGAGCCAAAATCGATCAAAACCATGAGCTATAGCCCATGCTTTTTGGTCCAAAATGGCCAAAAATGACCTATTTTGAATTCTTTATAAATAATCCATATCTTTTGAAAAGGTGTGAAAATAGGCCAAAATTGATCAAAACCATGGGTTATAGCCCATGCTTTTTGGTCGAAAATGGCCAAAAATGGCCTATTTTTCATCCTTCATAAATATTGGATATTATTTGAAAAGGTGTGAAAATGAGCCAAAATCGATCAAAATCATGGGCTATAGCCCATGCTTTTTGGTCAAAAATAGCCAAAAATGACCTATTTTGAATTCTTTATAAATAATTCATATCTTTTGAAAAGGTGTGAAAATGAGCCAAAATTGATCAAAAATGGCCAAAAATGACCTATTTTGAAATCTTCATAAATAATTCATATCTTTTGAAAAGGTGTGAAAATGAGCCACAATTGATCAAAACCATGGGCTATATAGCCCATCCTTTTTGGTCAAAAACAGCCAAAAATGACCTATTTTGAATTCTTTAAAAATAATTCATATCTTTTGAAAAGGTGTGAAAATGAGCCACAATATATGCTTTTTGGTCAAAAATAGCCAAAAATGACCTATTTTGAATTCTTTATAAATAATTCATATCTTTTGAAAAGGTGTGAAAATGAGCCAAAATTGATCAAAAATGGCCAAAAATGACCTATTTTGAAATCTTCATAAATAATTCATATCTTTTGAAAAGGTGTGAAAATGAGCAACAATTGATCAAAACCATGGGCTATAGCCCATCCTTTTTGGTCAAAAACAGCCAAAAATGACCTATTTTGAATTCTTTATAAATAATTCATATCTTTTGAAAAGGTGTGAAAATGAGCCAAAATCGATCAAAACCATGGGCTATAGCCCATCCTTTTTGGTCGAAAACGGCCAAAAATGGCCTATTTTGCATCCTTCATAAATAATGGATATTTTTTGAAAAGGTGTGAAAATGGTCGAAAATCGAACAAAACCATGGGCTATAGCTTTCTTATAAACGACCAACCATTAAAATCAAAATAAATATTGTTTCTTAAGGTATTTGGTTACAGCATACATTTTATTCCTTCTCATTTCTACCTTCTTTCTCTTCCTCTTCTTCATTTCTCCCTACTTCTACTTTTATCCTTTTTCTTTTGTTTCCCTACCTTCATTACCACTGTTTGTCATTAAGTTTTCATTTCCTTATTTTCTTTGTTCCTTTACTTTATATCCCCCAACAAAAACTTTTGAACAACAATTTCATTTTTATGGCTGTGACTTTTTATTTTTTACTTTCATTATCAACTTTGATTAAAAAAAAGACAACTTTTAACTTGTTTTTATTTTAATGCCATTATCTATTCAACACCAACGTGTCACGTCTTATATTAACTGGTTATCAAAAGGGCTTGTCAGTCCCAGGATTATAAAGGGGTGTTTCCGAAATACTTTTTTCTGCATATTTCCTTCATTTTATGGACAAGGCCTAATTTTTTATCAATGTCATTCTGCAGAGCGTAAAAAAATATTAAAGGGGGGTTCCATGGAACCCATTAAACCATCCCTGGATTCTCTAATGAGTCTGAGATTTAGTCGAAGTTAAGTGGCTATACCGACTTATAAAAACCTCATCTTAGTCAAACGTATTATATGCCTGGAACGTTTAATGCATATATTATTAAACAAGAAGTCTGTACATCTTTGATAGAGCAGTACAAAATGCAGTATGGCAATGAAATGACTTTCGAATTCGAGCCAAGAAATGCGATTGGATGGTRTGTTCTTTAAATGCATTTTGATTGGTTCAAACAGAAGTAACGCAACTTTCCCTGTTATAACAGTAACCCAGCAAGTTTCCCTCTAATATATAAAAGTAACTGAGACACCAAATTAAATGCATTCCGCTGGTATTCTTTGATGTCTGCTTAGCTGAGATGCCGTGGAAAACATCTTTTTACATTTAGTACACACAAATGGTTTTTCACCAGTGTGCGTGCGTATATGGTTATTCAGAGTAGTTGCTCCAGCAAACGAACGCGAACAGTACCCGCACTTAAATGGCTTTTCATTGGTATGTCTTACCACGTGCGTGCGCAGCTCGCTTGATTTGGAAAACGAGTCTGCGCAGTGTCCACATTTGTAGGGTCTGTTAGCCATTCCAGGACAAATGTGTATTTGTAAGAGAGCTCGTTGTGTGAATGACCGCTGACACTGACCGCATTTCCACAGGCTCAACTCGGATTCTTCGGTCAGATCCAGTTGATCATCATCATTAGTGTCATTAGCAACCACTAATTCGCCATTTGTGGGTGTAATGTTCCAAGGATGTGGCGGGCTCTTTTCACGTTCGCTACTTTTCGGCTCTTGAGAAGGTAATGCTTTGTCAGCGACGTTCATATGTACATGATGAGCATGCGCACTATGCACCGAGTGAACAATTTTTATTTCTTTTGGCGGAGAAACACGATGGTCCTGAAACGAATGCGTTCTCTTCGGTGAAGGCAGAAGTCTGGTCTGTGATGTCGGTTGTGTTACAGAATGCGTGACTGAGTTATGAATTCTTGGCGTGACTGCAAACGTACTCTGGGTTAATGCCTTATTTGCAGAAATTTTGATTGGCCCTGATATTACTCCTGATGGATATTTTTGTGGGTAAACAGCAGGCATTGGATGAACAGCATTGATCGGTGAATGTTGTGTTACTTTCACTGGCGATTGCGTGACTGGTAACGTTCTACGTGGTGGTACATTGGCCATACGATGCACAATATTCACGGGACGTTGTTGAGGAGTTTTCATGGGAACGAAATGTTGACCAGTGAAATCTACAGACACTTGCGGGGAAACATGAACTGGGGTGTGTTGTGTGACAGGCACAGGTATGGATTGCGTGACGGGTTTGACAGGTGAGGTCTCTTGGGGACATCCGCTGAGAGGCGGCTTAACATTGCAGGCCATCCGATCAAATAGAAGATTGTTCCCTGTTGGAAGAAAGCATCATTGCAGCCAAAGCTACGAAAAAAATGAAAGCAAGCACACCTAATTACAAATAGAGCAGAGAGAAGTACGACCAGACATTATCAAGTGCCTGCACACGTCACACCTTAAAGTCATGCAGAAACATACCAGGTAACGCTATTACAACCGGTAACACCGTATAACATTAGGTCACACCATTACACAACAAAGCAAGCACACCTAATGACAAATAGAGCTGAGAAAAGTACGACCAGATATAAGTGCCTGCACACATCACACCTTAAAGTCACTCCGCAACATGCCAGGTAACGCCATCAAAACCATTCATACCGTATAACATTAGGTCACACCATGCCACAACAAAGCAAGCACACCTAACGACACCGATGTGAGGCTTAAGTTGTGAACAAAGGAATCTGGCGTGATTCGTGACTTTTGAATCACGCCAGATTACTTTAAGTCACGCCACATCCCTTTGTTCACAACTTAAGCCTCACATCGGTGCGAGTTTTGAATTTGGTCTATAGAGCTGCGAGAATTACGACCAGCCATAACGAAGTCACGCAGCAGCATACCAGGTAACTCCATCGAAACCACTTACACCGTACGACATTAGGTCACACCATGTTACAACATCAGACACAAACCTACATCGATCACATTAGACAGTGCATTAGAAACTACACTGGCAACATAACACATTTCACCTTATATTATTAACATTACAGTACATAGCAATTTCAAAAAAAGTTGGCGAAGGTTTCGTTGCATGTTTTATCTAGCCCGAACTGCGCTATGGGTGATATGAATGCAATCAGGGAAACCAAAGTGATCTCGCACACGCACTTCCGGTTATTATTAACCAATGAAGCATTTTTGTTGCATCACCAAAAGTTCCATGATGAATTTCAAAATGGAGTCGTATTTCGAGTTCACCTTTTCAAAATACGTCCTGAAATATGATTTTACATTGAAACATTCTATGCTACATGTACCAGAAGAGCTTCCTCTTGCCCTATCAGCAATTGAAATTAATAAAAACAGACCATAAATGCAATAATTAAAGTAAGCAAAATCTGTGTTTTCTTAATTAGTCACCAGCTTCCAACGGTGAGATATTATGAAATAAGAGACTGGGTATTAGGAACTGTTCTATTTGACAAATAATCCTTTGCGCGTTTAGAGGCGAGATCACCTGAAAGGTCACAACAATATGGAATTGACCCAAACTTTGTCTGCACGTTTTTCCAGCATAATTTCTTCTGTGCTGACATTATTTACATATAAATATATTACATATCAAGCCTATTGTTATACAACATTCAACAAATCCTACGCCAACCTCTTATTTTGAAATAGCTGTATAAACAGTAGATACACCAGAACACATGCAAGATAAGAAAGTACAGTCATAGCAACATGCATGCATAACATACCATTAGGGTCAACCACGGCCATATCCTGGATATTCAGAGGTAATCCCATGTGTTGCTGGTACTTGTCATCATACCAGACCAACAGCTCTTGTCCTACTGAGATGTTTCTGAAGGCACGATAATAAATGTTGCCGCAATACTGGAAGGCGTACAGGTTCTGCTCATCTCGGTGCCGAGCACAGCGAATGAACCGCATCCAACTGGACGTGTTCTCGTCACTTGCGTCCAGATAACAGATCAGTTTGCCGTCTTGGAATATCTGGGACGAAAATGAACGATTAAACAATCCTTTCACTTTTTTCCTCGCCACCTCCCCTTGAGCTCCTCTTGTCTTCTTTTCTCTTCTCTCCTTTCCTTTCTATCCTATCCCTGTCATTTAATATATTATTATTCTCTCCTCTCCTCTCCTCTCCTCTCCTCTCCTCTCCWCTCCACTCCACTCCTCTCCTCTCCTCTCTGAGCGAAGTGACATAGTATCTTACATAATAAAACGTCACTCTATGCACCATCACGACACGACCATCCGCAAAAACAAAAGTTATCCTACCTCCCACATATAACTTGTATCCATGTCATTCGTGATATCTTCGGGTCTTATTCGTTTTCCTTCGTAAGGACCGATCCAAGTGCCGATAGGAATGTGCTGCTTGGCACTCACGCCATAACCCGCTCCAGGAATACTCGAACAACAAAGCTGAACTTCGTCAGGAAAGGACGAGATGGCATAGGTTAGTTTGATGTCCTTGAGCACTGAAGGCTTTATTGATTTCCTTGGTAAAGAAAGCGCTCCGTGTTCCACACATTCTGCCTTGGGTTGCCCTCGGCAGACCTCGCAAGTTGCTGTAAAAAAACAACAACAAAAGGCGCTTTGTAAAATGGCCTAAAAATACAGGAAAGTACTGTTGCGTACGTGTATGTGTTTGTCAGGGTATGTTCTGTCAGTGTATGATCGTGGTACGGAGGGGGAGGGGGACGAGGGAGGGAGGGGGGTGAGGGATCGAAGCAGTGGTGGGGGTAGTGTAAGGAGATGATGGTACAAAAGTCAATTCCTCATCTCATAGAAGTCTCGGGAACATCCTTAAAAATATATCAAAAATCCTAAAAGATTTGAGAAGTCTTTCCTTTAATCATAACCAAATTTATAAGCAGTTCTAAATCAAAAGGAAAGTCTATACGAAAAGAGTTCTTGTTTGGTTTGGACGAGCCTGATTACAACAGATAAACTATAATTCCACTCGAGCCAGCACGAACAAAGTAAGCCACAAAAATAGATAACGGAATGATTTGCTAAAAATACACATTCCTGGTGAGCTAATAGGTCTTTTATCAAATAATTACAGCTTTTACTGATAATCTAAACAGCAGCTAGAAAGTAGCTTCCTTTAAAGGTGCTAACTATTGATAGAACTTGAAATTACGGCAAATTAGCAAGGCAGTACCAGGATTGACTCGTAATTTGTTACTGGCTAAACTCCAGTGAGCGGCGAGATAAAAGTAACAAATACACCACAGATAACTTTTTTTATGCTTTTAAAAAAAATTGAGACGGTTTTTTACAGTGAACATGTCTTTCACATCGCGAACATGTTTTTTATCTCCCAACAGGTCTTTTCCTTGAATGTTATTTCTTTCTCGGTAATACTTGAATAACACAATCATGTCTATAAACATAGCYAAACAAAAAAACTATTATTTCGTGCAAAAAGGTTTGCAGTAGGGAAAAGAAATTATAGCTTTGCTAGCTAGCCAATCACATTGCGCCGTGTCATCAATCACGTGATTCTCGGGAAGAACATTCAATCAAACTTTTTCATATGAATTTTACCACCATTTTTTTTTCTCGTGAAGTTTGTTGAGAACATTTTTCTTCCGAATTATTATTTGCTTCGAGGCGAAACTAAGAAATACATTAGACAATATATCGAAGAAAAAAGTCCATTGAATATTTATTTGTCGTTTGGTTTTTTGAAAAGATAATTGAAGTTAGGGATTTATACCTAGCGAAATCAACTTACTATGATTACAAAATCTTTTGAAGTCTCGGCTAAAACAATTTCAGAAACAAAGAAAAAAGGTATAACAGAAACGACTTATTATTATTATTGTTATTAAATCATATGGGTGTGTGTCTGCATGTCTATTTATCTGTTAGAGTTTGTGTCTGTCTGTCTATCTATGAATATCGTGTACCAGTATTCGGCGTCTAGTTGGTTTCCGTACTAGAATCGAAAGAATAACCTAGAGACATTTTTCGCGGCGAGTCTCAGACGACGTGAAAACAATTCAATATCTTTGAACTGTTGCCATGTTTTTGTAACCATTCTCGATAAGATTTCCTGTTCTCGCGATTAACCTTCGTTCAATGCCATACGCATTTTCACGAATGCCGTCTCTCTTTCCTCCTGGGAGGGAAACCTTCAGAGACCACGATTCAAGATATGATATTGATTTTCCGGTCCTGATGACCTTGCCTTGACTTGTCGAGTTTCCAAGAGGATGCACGCACGATAGAAAACAACTTAGCCACTACAGATAAGCCTATCAAATCAGTGGTAGGAATGGTCTAGACTTGGAACGTGTGCTACATAACCGCAATACTGACACTATGCATACATACATTAAAGTCTAAAACCCTAATGTTCAGTGCAAAAATATCCTCGTTTTAAATGGCTGCATAATATTGGTAATAGTTACATGACCCGTGGGGGAAGGGAGGGGGGTTTGGGATGTTTTTAGGAGGGAGGGGGAAGGTCAATGCGAGGGAGGGGCTAGTAAGAGAGTCTGTTCTGTAAATGTCCGCGCGCTGATCCATTTTTTAAAGCCAAGTTACTACCAAAAGTCCTATCTAAAACTTAAGCCCACATTCAAATTCCTATTCACATTCTACTTTCCATAACAAGTGAAAGTTCTCTATTAACGTCCACAGGATCCCGTACTCRGAAACCTGGAAGAGCCCAAGCATGTACTAAAAAAAAAGGCTTCTCAGCGTGAATCCCAACCCTAGTTCCTTCCATTATACATTACATTATCAATAAGTCATGAGGTTTTATGTAACTCAAGATTGAAAAAATTATAATTTCAAAGTTACTACATCGTGATCGAAATCTGTAAAACTTTGACCCGCTCTGCAGAAATGACTAAAAAAATCAACTAGAATTAAGCTTTGAATATTCTCAATAATCTAATTTTGTATCAAAATCTTGTTTATTATTTGCACGATCTTGTGGCCATTGTATGATCATGAGTTCAAACGCGCGCGCAGTCAGCTTTAGATAGGACACACTTGCAAAGCCTCACTTTGGGTGCTTCAGTTTTAGCCCTTCTGTGGCATTCTCTTGAGAACGATTTATTTCTTTAATGGTTGATGAAATAAGTATGGCATAACTCACAAATTCTCCAAATTTTAAAGAAAATAAAAAGGAAAAAATTAAGCCCAAAGAAGATTTTTTCTAAAAACTCCTCCAGAAGATCAAAGCGTCAAATACCTTAGATCATTCGTGCGGCCAGCGATCAGGCTCTAACGCATAATTATCGATAACGGTTCAATTAATTGAAATATTTGCTCAACAAAAGACAGAACCAATTTGAGRAGATTTCCCGATAAAGACTCTTATCTGGAACTAGAGACAAGGCCAGAAGGAATACGAGCGATCTGATTGTAACCTCTTCTGGTCAGGCTGYAATCTTCAAGAATCTTGACGTAGGAAATGGAAGAATCACTTAGAATTTACTCAAGGGACGTCTAAAAATACCGTCGTCATCGCCCAATACCATCARACTGGTGCTCAATGCTTTGCGAAGAATCGTTAAAATAACTGCTATCGCTGTCGGAGTAAATAACAGATCTTCTAGATAAGTAAGGGATGTTTTATTTAGGTGATYCTGTTTTAATATCAGCATTAGCTATCTCCAGCAGTATCTCTCAAGAGGCGCCCCCTTGAGGAAATCTTTCAATCGCTTCGGCTAGTTAAAGGAAGATTAAATACTAGCAGGGTCAAAAGCCAAACACATAAAGAACAGTGCTACAGGATTAGTTATSAGGGCTCGATCTGTTGCGCTTAGAATATTGAAACTTTTCTGTTTCGAGTAGYATGCAATTTTGATCGAAAAATTAGAAAAAGTGAAGATTCGTTGTTAAAATATGTTAAAACCCTTGCGAACGTGTGGGCTCTTTTTTTATCTTAAGCTTTTTACCAGATAATTTCGATAATATAAGATGCAATACCAGATAGTTAGTTGAGTAAAAAGTAGGTCACCTCGTATCTCAAACTAGCGGAAACATTTTTTGATGGCATCCTCTTGAATTGCAGCAAAGTTGAACTAWAAAAAGAAAAAGGGTTCAAATTTTATCTAAAGCTGAAGAGAAAATCTGCTTTAACGACTAACAGCGAAGGTTCCAGATTCTTTCATCCCTAACTACRACTTTCTTTATCAAAAATTCAATCTAGATTGATAGTATCTTTAGTAACTACGCATTTTTACGATGCTTGTTAAAGATTTCTATCTCAATATTTCATTAACAAAAAATTCACACAATTCCATATTCTCTGCTCGCCACTTTTTCAACAGGAATTCGTTTCCTGAGAAAGMAAAATATAATGTTCAACTTATCAATTTTGTCGGTTGTTTCGAGTATTTTTGTATAGTTAGAACGATAAACTCTAGACGAACATTTYATGGCATCTTGCCTCGGCTTTAGTTTAAATGTATATCTAGCACARATTAGTAGTATTATACTGAAGGTATTAAAGCAATTGAATGCTAAAAATTTTCGAACCTCCAAAAACTTGCCGTTCAAAAGCGTTTTTATTTCCATTGGCTCTCAAGTTAATTCGTGTACAACCTTCTAATTCATCAAGTTTATTTTCACGAATCCGTCAGAAAAAGGAAAAAGATTAACGCACTAAGACAGATAAAATTGCTGCAAAAATGTCATGCAGCAACTGTGTTTTATTCTGTCTTCAATATCCCCAAGTTCAACAAGTAAGATAAATCTTCAATCATGAGTTATTCAGAATTATGCTCCCTGAAATAACCGAGCTTCGAATGAGAGAATTGTAGTTAGTTCACCTTTACTTTAGCACAATTTTTGAGATTCAAGCGTTAGTTATAAACTGCGCAAATTTTTCTCACTATTTTGTTATTTTTATTTTAGTTCCATTCAGTTTTGGGGGGGATTAACTGAACTGCAACGTCGTTGAGATGGCTGACTTATCATCTGCGCCGAATGCGGAGAAAATCTTTCGTAAATGTTGCCTGCCCCTCCACAACTGAGACGAAAGACCATCTTTGGACTGGGTTGGTTAGCACTATTTTTAAAAGGGCTTTTTAAATTTTGTGCCCTTTAATTACAAAAAGTGTTAAATCAGTTGTTGACTAAGGACACAAGTGATATTTGAATGACTCCAAAACACCGACTCGCACAATAGTATATCGTAATAACAATATCGAGTATCTCTTTCAGCACAGTGGGAAGTAGTTTTGCATTTCTTTACTGTAGATTCATTGTCTTACGAGTAAGAAAACCWGTTACAAGTGATTAGTTTACGAAATGGATAGAATTCCAAGACGTTGACTCAGTTGGAGATGTCGGATGTCGTACGACTAAAAAAAAAAGATCTCGCTAATGCTTGAAACTAGTCGTCTRTAGTTTTGCTGTAAGCAGTAGGAAGATATGCGGTTACTTGTTTAAGGACAGACGTTATCAAAAAAGAGAACGACGAGAATAAACGCTTGGGACAAGCCCAACAATACATTATTCAATTTCGTTGTTTTTCGTTGCTATCGTGTACTACAATGTTACAGATTGAAAGATCAGCGAGAAATTAGGGAGACGTGAAATCGTTGTAACTCACTTGGAATGGAGATGGTTGGGATTTAAACTTTTTTTGTCTTATACCAGAGATTCTATAAAAARATTATGGCATTGCAAATGAGTGACTCGAATAAAAAGTCCAATTGAAGAATTTGTAAACCTACAAATTTCTCCCCATCACTGCTCTTTAATAGAGTGTAACTATGATATCTGCTATTAGGTAAATTGATATAGCTGCAACATAAATAAAGAATCTTATTCAAAAGGCGTTAGAAAGTGGCAAATCATAGGCATATTACGCCTAAAGTAACAGCAGAATAGCGCGATGCAATAGCGCTGTTGCCTACCTACAGATTCCTTTGTTTTTGTAGATGTGTTTTTGTCTGTGCARCCGCTTTGTTTGATATCATCCATCTTGATAACCTCCACCTCTTGTTGCAAGTACAGAATGTGGTAGAGTTCGTTGAAGGAGAAAGAGTATCGCGGAGAGGAAGGTAGAAGGGGCATTGCTGCTGCTGACATTGTACTTCCATGCCGATACGGTGTGGTTGGTAATAGTTTTGTGAGGGAACTCACGTTCATATTCGTCTGTGAATCCAAACAAAAATATCTTCAAATTAAACTTTTCAAGTATCAATTCTAGTTGCATTCCTGATAGGATCTGATTAAAAAATCAGTYCTAGATCGTTTGCGGAGTGAGGAGATCAGGAGTACTAGCATCCTCGGGGAACCCAGGGGTAAAGCTCTGTCGCTCGTTTCTCGTACCGAAAAAAAAGAATTTTTTCTGAAAGCGAGAAGGGAATAAAGAATTTTACCCCTGGGTTCCCAAGGATGAAGAATCGGAGGAAGCCAACAAACAACACTATTCACATCAAACAACGAGTTCGGGGATTGATACAGTGTCGCATTGGCGTTAAGTATTTCATTGAAATTAGTCGATACTAGCAAAGAAAGAAATGATACTCAAGGGAATGAAAAGTGGTCTTGAAATTAAAAACATTAATTACGTCCAAAACGAAAAGTCTGTTAAAAGCACAAAGAAAACAGCTGAGGTTGACTAAATATTGCCCGGCTCTACCCTACAGGGTTACGAAGGAAACTCTCAACTCGGTGGTAAATTAAATTTATATTTTGTTTCAACAAGTGTAGACAACAACACGTGATTCTAAGGCTTCTCTCATTGCTTGGAGGCAGGAATCGAGGAAAGAGAAGGAAGAAAAAGGAGGATTTCAACTGAGCTTTTCGCACTCATTTGTCTTGTATGAACTGGGCAAAAAGCTTTAATTTTCGTTGTCGCATTTCATTGGTACATAGAATATGACGAAATGTCACTTATGAATCAAAGTAGGCGACCAGAACGCCAAAAAGCATCCAGAAATGAAATACTTCATTATGCAAATACGAAACAGATAAACTATGAGAATAATTTAACGAGTAATTACTACGCATGCGCGAATATGATAAGTGAAAAGTGAAAGAGAGATGGAAAATGAAAGATTAAATGGAAAGTCGAAATTGGCAAACCAAGAATAAATCCTTCAAGCTCCTCATAAAGAGTGCAAGTTTTGCCAGACAGATTCCTGATTTGTATCAGTCAGTTATCAATCAATCCAAAGAAAATATTGACCCAAGGACGTGTGACGTCAAACACGAAAGGAGTAGACAAGGCATTTATTCAATATCATTATCAACCCCAACCATAATAATTAGTCCCGTCGTGTGATTGGTAAACGGTCTTCAATTTCTGGGAGTTTATTCATCCCTCGTGCAGTGATTTGATGCAAAATAAATATTTCCATCGGAAGAAGAGCCTACATAGGAAAACAATGATGTGCTATTGCAGACTCGTACCGGAAAGACAGAACTGAACACGAATAGACGCGTCCAATAGATTGTCCTGTCGGTAAATATGCGCTCAAGGAATTGTCCCATTATTAACAACGCGATAGCATTTGAATGAAAAATCTTCCAAGAATAAAATTCTTTTAGACAAAAACCTTAAGACTGATTGCATACTATCGCATCACGATCTTCATGTCATGGTGGTGTAAAAATTACAATAATTTATGTACTTGAATAATATAGTCAATATAAACTTATGATAATTGGTCCGTGACTGATATATTGAAAATAGTTATTCCTTAAAAGTAAAATGTATTTTTGATGGCTTAAATTAATTGCTGTAATTGTCTTTGCAGCTTTAGTCCGAAATTAACTACACGAGAGATAATAGCAAGTACAKCGTTATCGCTCACTATCAGGTTGTACGCCTGCTCTGTTCTGCTTACCGTACACTCCATTTCCATCACGTGTAGAATGTAGTCTTCTACGCTGTTTATAAGAGAAAAAACAAACGAGGACGATAATGTGGAAAAAATTTTTTTGAGTCTTACTTGGCTGGCGCTGCTGCTGTAAACTCGTGTCGACCAGGAACTAAATATAAGGAACACTGACACTCGAAGATTCCTGATAACAGAACAGGACTGTGTGTTTTTATAACAAGACGCGAGTAGAAAAGAATTAATCTGGCTAGCTGTCATTCATCAATACTCGTGATGTCAAAACTTCATGGAAAAGATATTCGATTTCAGGCGTTTTGCCAAGAATATGATTTGTTTCGGTGCCAAGTTTTCAAAGTGTGTGTGTGGCTGTGAAGTGACCTTTGAATGATTCTTATAAAGGAATACAATGACGTGCTCAATTCATATACAGAATTTAGTTGCCACATTTTACTTAAGTCATTTATTTTTTAGTCGGGTAGGGTAATTAGAGGCTAAATTTCCTACCAGGGGGGAGTAGGGTATATAATTTAGAAGAGGGTTATGTGTAAACTGATTTTTTTCGGACGGATCTGTTAACCGTTTTTCTTTTTGTCTTGTACTGTTCCTTTCTAACATTTGCTGTTAATGTGAAACTAATAATATCGAAAGTAGCCACCGACGCCCACAGCACTATCCTGGACTCTTCCGCAAACCAATCATCCTAAGCCTACCCCCCACGGGACTAGAGCTGTCGGCTAACAATGATACTTTATCGCTAGTGTGGATGTCATGACCTTTTGAAGAACCATCTCTCAGACAAAGATCTTGGCATATTTTATGGTCTCGTGTTCCGAATATTCCGGGTAGCGATAAGGATCTGCCTAGCAAGATATGTATCAGTATTATCACGCTGGATCAAAAGCAACACAATCAAAACAACTGATCCACATACCTCTGTCCTCTGTCTCTTCACCATACCACGCGCCGCCRAGCCATGCCGCCATGAACCRCGCGTATTGAAGCTGAATAAACACGATCCCCAAGTAGTTGTATTTTTTAGATTTCTGACCTTCTAGAATGGTCAGCTAGAGCTCACGATGTTTTAGTGAATTCTGGGATATTCTGCCCTGTCTGAAATACTGCTTCGTATGTAACAGAAAGCCAATTCAGTGTTTAAAGCTGTCAATCAACTACATCCCAGCAAGAAGGAAAGGAATGTTGTGGGTGACGAGACAAGGGGTTGATTTGATACGAGTGAAGGCAGCTTTTGATCATTTCGCCTAGAATTGGTGCTACATTTGTATAAAATTGAAGCTTGCACACGAGGGCCAAAAGGATCATGATTACAGTACTGTGTGTTGGCAAATAGTTAAATACGCGTCTTATATCTCCCACCTCATCCCTATATCTTGTCAGGGGGTGTATAAGATTTCTACTCGGAAATTGATGAGAAAGAGAAATCACGGTTTCTATAAAGGGGAGGGGGAGGTCTTGAATCACAAATGTACAAGTCGTACTACCCCCCCCCCYCCGTATCCTATACCATCCTTTGAAAACTTCCATTTCATTAAAAGAATATTCGAAATCTGATCACTGAGAGCCAGATTCCACATCCCAACTTTGCCTTCGTTTTTTTGCTCAACATCATACTGAAACATTCCATTTTTTGGCATGTCGAATGAGAAACAGAAAACAAGGGTTCCCTATGTTATTTTAACATATCCTGTCCCCCGTACCTCCACCCCCTCCCTACCATTTCTCATTACCCAGCATGATAGAAGCTAAGTGGCATACCAGTAATAATTTCTGCCTAATTTATGATAAAAATGTTATCACAGCAGCAGTGAATTGAATAGTGCAAGAATAGGTACAAGGCTGAATGGATCGAGGACATATCACCTATATAAACATTCCGATGTTGAGGGGAAAACTGGGTCGAGGTGGCATAACAGTGCATTTTGAGGCTGTTTTGGAGACTGAATAGACGCTACCTCATAGAAATATGTCCCTTAAAACAGCCCCAAAATACATTGCAATACAAACTCGACTTCATTTTTCCTTCAACCTCGTTACGGCCGGCAAGAGATTTTCTCGTCTCGGGGATTAGTATAAATACAAAAATATAAATATAAATTTTAGATGAAAAAGCACTTTCATCTTTTAAAGGTTGACGTGTGAAATCACTCGCTAGCTGTGGCGTCGCAAGAGTCTTCGTAGATGGAGCTCTCTTGGTTTGTTTGGCATGAAAAATTCTCGCCAAAACACCATCAGTATAGAGCATTTTCACTCTYGGGAGTAGGCATTGAGCTACATTGGTGTACCAATAAAAAGTAGAAAGTTTTTGCATAAAAATAAAGTTCAATTCCCGAGGATGGAAAATGTTTTGCTTTGGTTCGACACCAACATGGCCGCTGTGTCGTCACGTGAAAACGCTCTATACCATAGCAATAACAATAGATTTTTTCAGCTAGGGCAAATGTCTTCCATTCAGACCCACCTCGTGTCATTCCTTAGAGAATCATTTGTTCGTTCTGGCTGCACATGAAAACAAGGGAATCGTTTTTTATAATGTGAAAACACTACGCCCAAGCCGAAAAAGTCTATTTAATCGCAAATGGTTTTTCTGCGATTCTGGAATATAATAATATCAAGCTTGTTTTCCAATACCTTAAAGTTACAACTTTCTTTATCAAAACTTAAAACAAAGCAAAAATCTTGAAATTTTGAAGGGGCGTTTACCCCCATTCCCCTTCCACTGTATTCTAGTACAAACCATTTCTCTTTATCATTCTCTAAAAGTCTTGAAGCATGACTACATATTTTATGTGGAACCTGCTGAGTCCAGGCATTAATGTCAAAAAATATAAGCATATGTTTCATAACTTGGTGCTCGAGTATTCATTAAATATATACAGCATTACAAACATATTTTATAAATTCGTTAATTGCCATTTTATGGCGCAAAGGTTACATTTTCACCATAGGCGGGGGAGCGGGGGAGTGTCATGGATCGAGAGCAGAGGGGATTAAAAGTGGGGGAGGGGGTGGGGGATGAATACCTCTGCACCTTTTAAATAGTTTCGTATGTACGATCCCAAAAATCCAAACAAGTATTTTTTCTAACTTGTACACATAGTGATTTATGCAAAAACTGATTGCTAAGAAAAAACAGATGTGCCATAATCTTATCAGTTATTACACCCCCGTCACTTTTAAAGTCGTTCCGCCGCCTGTGGTTACTATCATGATGAACACGCAAGTCATCATGAGCTGGTGCAACCTTTTTTTAAAAAAGCGCAACCATTACTCAAGTCATCATATGACTAAGCGATTATTTCTTATAAATATACATTAAAGATGCGGTTATTTAGACTTTGGTGGTTCGGGGCTCACATTCGCCAGGCGTTCGCTGATGTCTCGCTAGCTGACCCGCCTGTGCGAAACCCTTCCCACAGTGTTCACAGCTAAACGGTCTTTTCCCCATGTGCGTGCGTATATGGTTATTCAGAGTCGTTGCTCCAGCAAATGAGCGAGAACAAAATCCACATTTAAATGGCTTTTCACTGGCATGCGTTTCCACGTGACTTCGAAGTTCTGTCGCGGTCGCGAAGGATAGTTCGCATTGGCCACAGCGGTATGGCTTGAGGGGTTGTTGAGGGCAAACGTGGACTTGAAGCATCACTCTTTGGGTGAAAGTTTTCTGACATTGTCTACATCGCCACATACTTATCTCGTCTATACCCGCTGTTTCATTCTTTGTACTGCTTGTACTGTTCGAATCGCTGCTTTCTCCAGCCGCCTCGTCCTGTGATTGACTCTCATCTGACGGCCATGCTGACGTCACGCGGGATATCTGCGAAGCATGTTCCTCCTTACTTAAATGCAATCGATGACTCTTCGTACTCCTATTTCTTTCCGATCCTTGATCGTCTGTTAATCGCTCCTTGGGCGTGCGGGGACGATTGCTCCTTCCCGTTTCGTTTTCTACGCTGCCTTCCTCGTTGATAAATGACAAAGGTGACTTTCGTTTAGTCAAGGGAGGATACTGGCGTGAATCTGAATCAATAGTAGTAACTTCAGTCGCTTTGCGCTTTGACATGACTATTTTTGGATGACCTGCTTCGTCCGATGCGTCGGGGTTGGCAGTGGTAGACGAATAAAATGCCCCTATAAGATTGAATAGAGACTTAAAAACCAGTTATAGGCCAGAAGTATATGAGCGGTACGATAAAAAGGAACTTGAATAGTACGACCGAGAAAGACACGTTCAACTCAGTGAAATCTTCTGATAGTAAGTCAAGAAACTTGTGTATGGTGGGATGTGCATGGAAGAATGCAATTGGAACACTGTCTTAGCTTCTTTGTTACAGCATTCCATTCCTTCCGTAGTCAGCGGTACGAAACAAAACGACATGTGCGTAATCATACAGGGCTCATAAAATATCCAAACAAATCAAGCATCTATTGACACAAGGAAAAGTAAACAGCAGCAACAACAGAAGCAGCAGCAACAGCAGCAGTATCAACAGTAGCAGTAACAACAACAGCAACATCAGCAGCAGATACAACTGTAGCAGTAGCAACAACAGCAACATCAGCAGCAGCAGCAGCAACAGTAGCAGTAACAGCAACAGCAGCAGCAGCAGCAACAGTAGCAGTTAACAACAACAGAAACATCAGCAGCAGCAGCAACAACTCGGCAGCACCAAAAGTCACTTTTATGGCAGAGCTGCAATAATAACAGAATAAACAAGAGCAGTAACAACAGCATAAACATATGCAACCATGAAATCATGATGGAAAATCATAGACCAAACTCACTCTTTCGTTGCAAGTAGCTCTCCCTGTCCATCTTGCCCAGCGTAGGTGAGATGGAGGAGGTGGGTCTGTACTGACGATCATTATACACAACACTATCACTGCTCGTGATAATTGGTCCTTCTTCTAGCACTTCCTGGTGAACCCTTGGTAAGTGTGTCCCTGTAATGCCCAGTTGTCCCCGGCCAGAGATACTAACAGGGATCCCAGCTGATATATTGACAGGCATGTGATGTCGGTACGCTACACCGTAGACACCTGCAGGAGTGTTGGATTGAAGAGGGGGCACAATAGGAAGGTTAGGCAGAGTGTAATGAGGTGCTACTGTAGCATAGGGAATGGCTGGTGATGATATACTTGACATTTCAGGAGTCGGAAAACCCGGACTGGAACTTAGTGAATGTGGAGCACAGGATATTCGTGTTAGATAAGAGGAGTGACGCAAGCGGTGAGGTGAAGGTGTTGCCATGACACGCTGACGAGACTCTGCTGGATGGACCGCTAGTCTTGGATTGTAATCTTTTAGTGATCTACTGATATCCATCTGCACAGCAATAAGTTTAAGATCAAAAACTTCAAAAACCTTCAGCACTGTATGACTCAGCATCACATTCCAATTTTGGTTTGGTCAGCTAGAGGTTGCTTATGGGTACCGATAAAGTATTTTGAACCTGGTCCTTTCCAACTAAACTAARCAAACCACTTCTTTCCCTCCCCAAAAAACATAAGCGTAAAAACTAAAATGACAGAAGGGAGATGGTGACAGACACCTTAGAACTTCCCCTCCCAGTKGTTGCGCTCCTGATAAACATGTGAACAAAACAACAGACAAGTTACCTCTTTGACTTCATCTTTCTCCTGATCAACTTTATGCCGCGAGTCTCCTTCGTTTTTGGATGCTGTATTACTAACTTTGGCGCCACTGGAACTTCCAACGAGATCTGAGGATTTAAAAAGAGAAAAGGGTTTTGATCAAAACTAATAAGAAAAATAAAATTCTTGTCCTGTTTTCTTCTCTCGTCTCGTCTCCTCTCGTCTCCTCTCGTCTCCTCTTCTCTCGCCTCCTCTCGTCTCCTCTCGTCTCGCCTCCTCCCGCCTCCTCTCGTCTCCTCTCGTCTCCTCTAGGTTTCCTCTAGATTCGTTATTTCTTGCCCCCTCACACCTCCTCTCGTCTCCTTGCCGCGTTGTGCTTGACTTTCCTAGCTGTCCTCTCTTGTATGTCTTTTCCCTCCCCTCCGCCCATTTCCTATCATGTACCCATTTTCTTACCYGACGAACTGATAAATTCAATTTCTTGTAATCCAGTAGGAATCCCCAGATGCTGTGGGTACTTATCATCATACCAGACAAGCATCTCAGTTCCCTTAGGGATTTCTTTGAATGACCGATAGAAGATGTTTCCTAGATATTGGAAGGCGTAGAGGTTTTGTTCTTCCTTGTGCCGCGCGCACCGAATGAACCTCATCCAACTGGACGCACTTTCGTCACTCCCATCTATGTAGTAGGAAGGTTGGCCATCTTCGYAAATCTAGTTAGAAATAAGAAAGAAAGAAGAAATAAGATAATATATAAATCCTTTAATGTATTTCAAAATATACGCAATCTTGAAAAATATGTCCCATAATACAGGGCCCACAATGCACTGCAATGCCAACTCGACCCAGTCTTTTCCTCATGCTCGGAATGGCAAATTCCATTGAARAGTTTCAATTCAGCTGCATGATGAACGTATTACACGGGACAGCACATGGCGGTCAGTCTTTGATTACCATTCGGAGAAGATAACTAGATGTTTTGAAGTAAAGTCCTATTTTATGACCGTCAACTCACCTCCCAGACGTAGGGATTATTGCGGGATACCGATAATTCCTCGGGACTGACTCGTCGTCCTTCGTACGGCCCAATCCAGGTTCCCTCAGGTATAACACGCTTTGCGCACACACCAAATATCGCACCAGGTATACTAGATGTACAAAGTTGGACTTCGGCAGGAAATGATTTGATAGCGTAAGAAAGAGAATTATTGCGGTCAGCGGTGTATGTTGAAGAAGGTTCGTGGAAAGGACATCCGTTTGGTGGGCGATCAACGTGACAAACTACACAATCTGAATTGAAGAAAGAGTTAAATAATTAAAAATTAAAAAGTGGAATGTTGATAAATAATAGGAGGTCAAAGCGTACACAGGTTACCGGGTAATTCTTTAATATCAAACTGAGAAGAAAAGAAAAAAAAAACAACGAAAAAAGGAAAGATTGCATGTAAAGCCATAGATCAGAATCTCTGGAAGAAATAGAATACCATTGCATACACTTTTCATTATTCGACAAGGAATTTGGCCTTAATATGGTTACCGTGTAAACTTATGGAAACTAAAGAAGAACAAAGATAAAGTACGTCATCCAAACCAATCAGAGATCAAAAGAAACTACTGCATCTTTATATATAGACAAAGAATGGCTTCGTAGGCTACCAGCACTGAATGCCAGTTTATTAACTTAGACCCTCACTCAACTAAAACATGTCCGTCTTTAAACTTCTTAGCAGCAACCTGTGTACAGCAAAATCCTTAAAGTCGTACCATCCACCAACGCAATACCATACAATGTACTTTATCAATTTAACAAATAGACATCAGTTTTTTATATGTCTGTTCTCTTATTGACGATAAATTGCGTCATCACCGACTTTGTCAAAGTAGTATGTGGATCCAAGAGGCAGAGCCTGTAATAATATATACTTGTCACGCAACATTAGGTTCTATTATGTAACAAATGTAATATGACTCTCTCTCCCCTCTCTCTACACACATTGTATCAAGTTAAGCACCAGAATAAGTATACCGAATTAATCGTCATTAAAGCAAGCAACCATAATCAAAGCCTCCACTAAATATCATGACAGAGCCGACATAACAGAGCCGGATACCGTGGATCCGCATACTACTTTGACTATGTGATGACGAAATTTATCGTCAATAAGAGGACAGACACATAAAAAACTGATGTCTGTTTGTTTTTTACAATAACGAAAACGATAAAAACTTCTCATTTTTAGCGATCGTTGACGTCAGTTTTATCTGTCTGTCCTCTTAGTGATGATAAAAAAAAAAAAAAACAATCAGCGCGCGAGAAATTTGTAAGTTACTGTAAAAAGTATTATTTTTCTCTGATTAAAGTGTTGTGAAACAAAACAAAGACATTAATCAGAGACTGAAAAATGCTATTGATAATATGAATCCTGATTGCTAAGATATTTACAATAAACTTTATTTAAAGAGGGTGACGCAATGACTCAGTGAGTTATCTAACTAATTACGGCCGTCAACTGACAACACAAATATCGCTAGATTATTTTTCGCATGGATGATTTTTGCAGGTCTTTTATCCTTTTGTTGGCCACTGAAGCATCTATTCCCATACATCTATCAAACTATTGATGTGTGCTAATGTCACCGCGGCCCTTTATTCTCATGTTTACTTATTAGTAGACTCAGTGATAAATGGGTTTTGCTTGAGGCTATGCGGAAATTATGCTCCGTCTTGCTCAACCGTTCGTAACATGATGCAACTGACAAATAAAACCATAGGATACTGGTAGAGATATTTACGTTGTCAAATCTGTACATAGTAGATTCTACATAGTAGTTGAATTCCACTGAAAATATTGAAATTTCAGTGATACTTTTCGGGGTCTCAAGTAAGATTTGGATTTTTTTTGATTCACTGTATCCATTTTTTCCCTTTTGTTTTAGAAGATCGAATCCTTAACTGATGTAATTCAAGAAGTCGGTGATCGTACTGGTAAATCAGACTGACGAAGAAACTTATAAGAGAAAACCAATCTTTTTTTTGTAGTACTGAGTATCAATTGATGGGTTGCAAGCATTCCCAAGAGAGTCAAAAGACAAAGACATGACGGCCATTGTGGTACCGTTAACAATGGATGCTAATGAGAAATCTTTTGTTAAATGGTACCAACATGGCCGCGATGGCGTAACGTGCAAACGAAGAATTTTTCAGACTTTAACTTTAGTATGTATTCAAAGAACCTTCTTTGGTAGTTACATCTTCAAGATCATGACAGCTATGTCACTAGAGTGAACAGCATGATTTCTTACCTTTCTGCCTTTAATGCGACTGGCAGAATTACACCCAATTGCAGAAAGTTGTCATATATATGAATAATAACACAATAACGAAACAACAGATAGGGATGATGATGATGATGATGATGATGATGATTCATATAGCGCCGTGAATATAGATATAATCAAAGGCGCTGTAGGCACTGTCACTGCTAGGGTTTCTTTACGTCTTTGCGTCAGGAATTGTGTTTAAGCAAACGGGTGCAATTACTGTATTTTACTATTTAGAAGTTATAGACACAGGCTGCCCTGTGACTAAAAATTAATTATAGTATTCTTTATAAATTTACGAATTTTTTCTTTTAGCTTTAAAAGCTTAATAAACGTTTACAAACTTTCATGTATTCACTGGGAGTTGATAATAAAGTTATTTATTTCGATTTTATAGATTGTATAGACTTTCATTTTTGGCATTTTTCACCAATTCAATCTAGGGGACTTTAAAATTAAAATAAATAATAATATTTTTAATTAATACTTATTTGTTATTTTGCTTTTATATACATATATATATGACAAAGTTATTGCAATTAATGTGTTTCATTATAAGATATAATCTTTCAAATGGTTATTTAAGTGCTTAAACGGCTCCTATATTTGTTGGTCGACTGCCAAAAGATTCAGTCTTTTCTTAATACAGCACAAAAATTGATTTGGAAATACCGATACGCTTGAAAGGTTTTTCCAAGACATGTTTGGAATGCAGCTTTTTGCCAGGAGTGGATGGATAAAATATATAGCTGATCGATTAAGCAAATTATTTGCAATAGATTTAAAGCACAACGCCACTATTCAGGGCCGGGATAGTATTTGCGAGGACTGAAGTGATCTGCTATATTAATTTAAAATATCCCAAACAATATTCTTAGCTTCGTGAAAGTTTAACGTCTTTGTTTCCGTGTCGATCAAAGTAATATTTGCACTCCAATGTTTCTTAATCATAATCCTCGGGTTTTTTTCCATTGTCGCTTCTAATCATCCAATCTCAACGCAAGCACGTGGAACTCGAGTGCCTGAAAATTGACTCTCACGGAAGGCATTTGTTTTTACGGTTTAAATCCTACTGATTTCAAATTAAAACAGCGAACGCGAAATTAAAACAGAGCTCCCTCAAAACTGAAGACTCGTGTTCGATTTGTATTTATAGTTGGTCGATGAGTGCTTCGTGTCGAAGGACAAAAGTGCATGTTCTTCATCAGTGAACTCCATTCAAAATATAATTTTCGATGTCACTCGATTGAACTCGAATCAGAAGTCGAGACTTTTTTCCATATTTTCCTTAAGTGTAACCATAAGATTTTTGTCGCCGAATTTCTTGCTAAATGAAGTGTTTTKTTTKKTTKTKTKTTKTTTTKTTTTTGATTCAATAATKAYACTTGTTTTGCCTGGCAGACTAAACTACTTGTTGGCAAGTGCAAAATGAAGGCTAGTGAAGAGTCATGTTCAACGTTTTTGCAAAGAGATTTTTTTTTGTTCCGGCTTTTTGTATACTTACATGTTTTSGTTYTTTCTTTCTTTCTCTCCTTTTGTAACTGCAGCAAATCCACGGTGCTTGCTTGTTTCTTTCCATAAAGGACATGTAACAAGTCCTCAAAGTTGAACTTCAGCTGTGTTGCTTGGTCTTCATTGTCGTTCGCAGTCGTAGAGACTTGAACGCGTATGCGACCAGGCGGCCCTGAACTCATGAAGTCTTCCAGTCTTGAAAGCTAAGCAACAAATCGCGTAAATATCAGTATAAAATCAAGAAATTGTGATACTGTAAGACTATATATCTACTCAGCTGAGTTACACGCACACGGCGCGTATATAACTAATATAAACTGAGTTAGCTAGTGGTCAAGTCGACGAAATGGTGAATTCGTTGTCAACTTTAAGTACGTTGTGCATGGTAGTTGATCAGTGTTGATTAAATTGATTGGTGAAGACCAATCAGATAGATTACGCTCGAGGAGAGCAGAAGCGAGAAAGAGAAAAAGAAAGAGAGAGAAGGATTGTCTTAAGAAACATTAAAGAATAAAAAAACACACTCAACCATTATCAGACTACATCAAATATATATAGGAACATTTGTTTCCTGTATTTGTAAAAGAAAGCTCATTTTCTTTGGTAAAGCCTAGAGAGGTTAACGAAGCAATAAAGAACTCGTTTTACCGGCATGCATGCATGCAACACATGTGAGTGCAGTCTTGCTTATACAGATATTATGCGACTTATGCTACATCAAAGTGCCTCTGTCATGGAAACATCCTTAAGACACCCTAAAAACTTGTTTTCCTAATTGAATAATTATAAACATCTTAAAAGTAAATTATCTCAACCTTTCTGCTCAGCATCACGCCGTATAACATTAATATTCTATCCTGATCACCCTCTGGTAGGAAGCTCGCTCGTATCCCGATGCCGGCATGTGATAAACACGATGGTGAATGATTAAGTTGAGCTGGTACTGTTTTGTTATTTCGAGTGGCTGGCGTGCAAACCCGTTTTTTTCATTGATAGTGAGGGGGAAAAAACCAACGACCCAATGAAAAGTTAGGACTTTACGGTTCAATTTTAGATCCAAGCTTGTAGACCGAATTACATAATCACCAAGAAAGAAAAGGTAGTGATATCGTTCTCGAGGGCATGGGGAATAATTCGAAATAAGAAGAGTTCGGCTAACCCGTTTTTTGCAGGAGAAAATAAAACTCGGCAACCAAATAACAAGTTAGGATTTTACAGTGCAATCTTAGATCGATTCCATTCAAACTCGTGAACCAACTTTACATAGTTAAAAGAAAGAAAAAATAATGAATTTATATCGTACTCGCGGGCATAAGCTGGAATGAAGAAAAGGAAATGAAGAAGAAAGAAACATTGTGTATATATATTCTGTATGGTTTGCCGTTTTTGTTTTCTTGTGGACTTTGACCATGGTTAATATTAACTGTGCTTTAACTCTGCTCTTTTTCAACCGTTGGCGTATAAATAAAGTTGAAATAAAGGTAATTCACGAAAAGGCCCTGCGGAAAGTAGCCTGTATAAAAACTTCAAAGACGGTTTTCAAAAACATCGTCTTAGATGGAAAAAAAATTAAACCAAACACTTTGCAGAAAAAATAATGCGTAAGAATCTAAATGCTCGGTTAAATATACACCCGTCAAACTTCTACGGCTAACCCAGGTGTACTTTGATTAAAACGAGAGTATAATCCGGTCCGAAGCAGTTTTTCTTGTTCTAGCTGGTCTTTAAAGTGGAGTATTACAAATATGTTGGTCATTGATAAACATTGATATTCTATTAGAATAAATTAATCAAATCAATCTAACTGTTCATGATTTAAGTTCGATCCCTTATTATCAAAAATTAATAACCATGATTTATTACTACTATACTATGGTTCTAAACCAGGTAATTGATGAACAAAAATGACCAAGTTATAGAATTTTTGTGCAGTTTTCAAAACGAACGTACAGCGGACATGGTTCACTATTTTTATTGCATCGTCAGGGGCGATAGTGACGGTTGTTATCATTTCAAGGTAGAAAAAAAGTTTTGCTAGTTCGAGATTCAAAAATATTTCCTGAATTTATTAGTTTCTTTGTATGTTTTTCTAAGAACGATAATATTATTCGAATGAATATTGTTGTCTGTAGGAAGGTTGCACCAAAACACATGAAGTAAGTCATAACGATTTTTTGTCCTAACCAGATTGTCATTCAAAAACATAAAACTAAATTTCTTTATCTTAAAAGATATTTGTTCAAAGATGCTATTTTAAAGACTTTTTTGTCACTGTTTAACTTAATTAAAAACTTTTTGTAGTGCTATTTTTACTTCACAATGGGAGAGAAAGCCATAAATGTGTTATTCAACATCGTAACTTATATGTATGAAACTAGACAACACACTGCTCACGATGTCCACCTGAACTCGGTTCCTTCAAAGACGAATACTAAAGTTTACATATTCCAAAACGTATGTCCTCCTTATCTGTGTCCATTCTCTGAACGTCGACCTGAACCAAAACCATGAGATAACTGAACCAAAATCATTTCGTTTATATTATTCAAAGACAAAGTCAGATCGTCTAGCGTCTCGAAATGGTTTTCGTCGACCTATGTCCAGCACTTAGGTAACCGGTTTTTCCAACTGTTTATATTTGTGTTAATAAGTTCAATATTAATAACTTACCTACAGTAGCTTAAAGTTTGTGTATATACAAAGCTATAGTTCTACACTCAGTTCTTCGGCTTCAGAAATACTCGACTCACATGAGGTTTTCCATCAGTCAAGCATACCATTTTGATATTAAATTGTTTTCGCTTTTTTCTCGTTGATTGACAAATGCCAACCATGCACGACCAACATTTGTTTTCAGAGCCATTTGATCATCACGTGATCAGTGTGTTTCAATTCTTATCCACCTGGAATGAACATTTAAAATCTCTTATCCCTTTGGATAAAAATCTTTTTTTGTGTGCTTAAATAAAAGTTAGCAATGTTAAATAGCGAAATTTTCAGAGAGTAACAGACAGAGAAAACTATAAATTCAATGACGCGTAAATTGTCACGGGAAGTTTAAAACCCTCATAAATATTCATGCTAAAGAATTAAGTATGTTAACTCATCTGTATCTGGATCCATATTAATGACACATGGAGTAGTAGAGCCAGAATTATTACATGCAGTCTAAGTTCTCATCAACCAGATATTTCTGAAAACGGATTTTTTGATTCCGTTTTCACAAAAAATTCTCGTTCACACGTAGCGTTTTCGAATCGTTTTCGCCCGTCCATACGTATATCTGTTAAGTTTAATTAACATAGATCGACTCCAAAATAGAACATTAAAATTTGGTTATATCAAGTCTATAACTTCAATAAGAGAGATGCTCGAGAAGAGCGATAGAGCTCTGTGTTTAAAAATCACCAAATCTAAAAATGCATCATTATTTGATTTATTACCACCAGGAAGGAAAAGGCTACTAAGGCCTAGGGGCACCCCTTTGTCTTACCCAAGGTTAAAAATGAAAGATTCGAGAAATATTTTATCAATAGATGTCTATTTTCTTAATCTTAACCTTTGAATTTTATCATAAACATACATATATAAATAACTGTATAATGAATCAAAATTTCTAAATAATATACAGTTATTTATATATGTATGTTTATGATAAAATTCAAAGGTTAAGATTAAGAAAATAGACATCAAATAAAAAATCCGTTCTCGACAATATCCGGTGACGTCAGATCATTATGATTTTCGACTGTTCATTTTAAATTAAGGGAGTCATGATCGCGGTTTCGTAAGGGACGGGAGGGAAAGGATTACTTTTGTACGACTAATGTAAAGATTGTTCCTATCCTTGTTGAGAAGGAAGTTTAAGAACACGTTATTAAAATGCGTTTATTTTGGTCTACGCAATACAAAGTCATGGATTGTAAGTCTTAGGGATGTAGCTTGTCTGGTGCAGTCATGCTCATCACTCGGATCATCATAATCACGGAAACTGCATTATTGATACTTGAGCAGAATAGTCAGCCGTCAATACAAAATAAACGCGGGTGCATATTTGATTCTGTTATCAAAATGGAAGCGTATAAGTATAGGAAATCGCACATAATCTCGAGTACAATTCGGAAGTTATAGGTTCAAGTGATGTTTTGAAAGTTTTCAAAAGTTTTCGAAAGTTTTCAAGCCTTTAGGCGAGTCCAGTTTGAGAACTTTAAAAACATTAAGAGTATTCATAAATTCCAAACTGCATGTATGAAAAGATTGGGCCATTTCTTGCTTATAATACACAACCCAAAATTGAGCAACTTAATTGGGACTCTACAGAGTACGATTTGGCATTTAATTGTACTCCTCTTGTCCAATTAGAATCGAGTAATTTTGTTGAGTGTATGATAATGGCAATAATTGCACCCTTTGAACTGTGTGATACATCGTTCGATCCTTCACTTCTCTCCTCTCCTCTCCTCTCCTCTCCTCTCCTCTTCTCTCTCCTTCTCTTTTATTTTGCATCCCTTCCTTCACCCAGTTAGATAATTGCTCATGCAGTTTTCCTTCACATGACTAGTGAAACAATAGAGGGGGTGCCCTCTCCTAACAATGGTGAAAAACATGTACACACAGACAAGGAAATCAGGTAGGTGAGAAGATGGTTTACCCCTTAGCTTCCTCAGTAAATATGACACGAATGATCGTGAAACAAGGAATATAATTCAACAATAAGTAATTTTTGTGAAAAAAAATTCATTTTGTCGGCTTGCCTATTCCTGTTGCGGCAATGCGCAACGCTACCGACTTGGTCAGTTCTAGAATGTTCTCTCTGTTCCCCCACTGGGCAAGTATTTGAAAAGTGAATCAAACACAATGCACAAAGTATATAAACAAATGCAAAATATCGGATATGCTCTGTCTATGAAGCAAAAATAAGCCTAGAATTAAAATGCATAGAAATGTCATTAGCTAGCTTAGAAGCTGTTATTCGCTTAGACAACTTAACTATTAATAGATGAAAGACCAAAACCTAGAGAGACACACTTTAATTTCAGGATGAGTGAATCTTGAAATGCGGAACTTGGCAAAATGCCGAGAAGCGCTCTTTAAGAAAATGCGTGCATAAAATAACAAATCATAAAATAGTTATTTTTCAAAAATTATCTTATTTTAGAAATCAGTTGCGGAAGTTACTAGAGCAAACATTGTTCAAGGCTAAAGGATTTTTTTTAAAGAAGACGCTATGTTTGAATCACTATTTATGCATTGACTAAATAATTCAAGCTGTAAATGATGACGACACTGATTTTGAAATATGGAATCAATATTTTGAGAGTGTTATTTTAATGGCAAGTACACTTCACTGACCCACTCATGCTTGGAACTCTCTAGAACTTATATCACGTTATTGTAAAAAAGAAGACAAAGAACTAGCGAAATTGTAAAAATTATTAATAATAATGACTGTAATAGTAATAATAAATTTATACCGCGCAAATTTCATATTCATATGCTCATGCGCGCAAATAAAATATATGCAAGCCATATTTTATATGCATAGTGCTCACTGCGCGCAAGATTATTACTGATTTATTTAATAAGTAACTGCGTTAACAGCGCAAAAACATGTGCGCAGATGAATTGATAAAGCGTTTTTAAAATTGAAAGTTATTTTTCGTTAAAAGCTAGTCTTCTGCAAGCGATGCTAGCGCCTATACCGAAAGTATACCAAAAATATTCAAGGTAAAAAATTTCTAAGCTATTTCTTAAGTATGGTAGGTTATTAAGTAGAAGAGACAACTTTGCTAACAAACAAAACCATTGAAGCTATACGATGAAGTCGAGCTCTAACATTTACTTTGTTGATCGAACTCATTGATCCACAGTTTGTTGCATCAGACAAAGGTACCGACGCTCTGAAACTCTTAATTAATGAAGATAATGAAACTTGTTTCATACCAAAACCGGATTGCTCTATGGGAGATGTGAATTCAATCAGCGAAAGGCCAACGATATAAAATTTTCCTAAACTTTGTCTGCACGTCTTACCTTCTGCTGCTTGTGCTAACAATATTTACATATCTATAATACACTCTACAAAATTACTCGATTCTTATTGGACAAGAGGAGTACAATCACGGCTGTGTTTTCACTAGAAATGTTAACTTGCGTAAAATTCCTGGAGGTGTTTTAATGCGATGCCCACCTTTCAAGAATAACACTGTGATTGGCCCATTTATTTGGTAGGACAACGTAAACCATCTTTCTAGGTAGTTTAACTTTTCCTTATTTCCGATGTTATATTTAAGCTAGTTTAAATTGTCCTAGTGAAAACACAGCATGCAGTAGAGTCCTAATTTTTGCTCAATTTTTTGAGGGTATTATAAACAAAAAATCGCACAATCTTCTCGTACAATTCGGAATTTATAGATATTCGTGATGTTTTGGAAGTTCTCAAATATTGAACTCGCCTAAAGGCTCGTCCAATTTTGAAAACTTTCAAAACATCACTCGTACCTATAAATTTCGARTTGTACACGAGATCGTGCGATTTCCTATACGAATATGATACATTCGGGGCATAGCAAGCAACATGCAATGTGCGACATGCACAGGCCTAACAGGCAAGCCTCGCTGAAGAGCAAATCAATTACAAAAGTTAACCGGAACTTAAAGAATGTACAGCTTGAACAATACCAATGTTAGTGAAATCTCATGTGTGAATAACTTTTAAACTATAAACGAGGCTAAAAGGCTGTGCAAAGGAGTCTTCAAATACAGCGGCATATGCATCGAATGCGAAACTGGTGTATTGGACAGGGCAGAAAAACGGTTTTTGGCTTTACGTATTTAAGTTCAATATTTTGTAAACATGTTTTTTTGGAGCCAAATAGCAAAATATTAAATGCAACCAAAATTTATTGAATGCGTATTTGAGATATAAAACCGTGTACTTTGGGAGAGGTGATATTTTGATCAGCAGAAAAACTGACATTTTCGTGAATACTAATAAGTAGCCTTTACTCTAATTGGAAAAAATTTCGTCACAAGTTTCCAGCAGCAGTGACACAAATGAAACGCTTAAAAATTTGGAGCATTAAACTCAGTTAAATAAAAAAATTGTGAGTAGGGGACTAGTCGTTTTTCTGCCCTGTCGGTGTATTGCGTTACCAGCGCAATATATTAGAGCGGAAATTTGTCACAATTTAAAATTATAGCGTGTGTTATCAGCAACCTTACGAACTCATGGTGCATAGATGGTACGTGAAACACTGGTTAATGTTGCTAATATGAAGCTGGAGTAATGACTTGACCTTAACACTGAGAAGCCCTCTGTATAGAGCCGCGCCTGAACGAACAAGTTTTTTTTAAAGAGTAAAATGTTTTTGTTCACTTTTCTCAGATCATTAGCTTTTCTCCAGTATGCAATCACATGATTTTTGATGTTATGTCTTCAACATGTTTGTAACAGTTTGAAAGACGAAGATGTTTACTGAGTTGCGATCCCTGGGAGTAGGTTCTCCCACACTTTTCACAGATAAATGGCTTTTCTCCAGTATGCGTACGAATGTGATTATTCAGTGTGGTAGCGCCAGAAAACGATCGAAAGCAATACCCGCACTTGAAAGGCTTCTCGTTACAATGACCACTAGCATGGACACGCAGATCATTGGGATTCGCGAATGCAACCCCACAAAACCCGCACTGAAAGGGCTTATTAGGAGAGCGTGTGCAAATGTGAATCTGCAGCACAGATTTCTGAGCGAAGAYTTTGTCGCATTGACCRCAGCGAAACACGCCCAACCCTGGATCTTCTTCATTGTGATCTTCTGTCGTTGCCTCCGCTACACTAACATTGCCGCCAGAAAATTCCTTTCTTTGAGAAACGTTACAATTATTTTGCACTGTTGCGTCTTCAACTGAATTCATAGTTTGTATTTTTTTAGGCCTGGTTTCGGAATCAAGAATGAGATCCAACGATGTCTCGCGCAGGCGCTTTAGAGAAGACATGATTTCTTCACCATCGCTTGATATCATGACAACTGCGTCATCAATGTTTGCRGTAACTTCRTTGAACTCGGTTAACACGGAAGGTGGATTGCTTTGAATGTTACTAGAAGAACTATCGACGGGTAAACATGGACTTGGKTTTTGCGGGATTCCAGAAAAAGCCATTGAATCGTCTCTTGCGTCTGTCGGGATATTTGCGTTGATTTCTGCAAGAAAAATAAAATGGATTATYATACCTCACGAGTTATCGTCCAATCACATCTCTGTATTTTATTCACACGGGGATCCATGACTTTGCGATATTGGGCAGCAACTTATTATACTGCTAAAAAACCTATTGTAAACCTATTGCACTAGTACTATAGTAGTCTTTTTATTGCAAAACTTATTTGTTCGATATAAAGGCTGGTTTAGACGGTACGATTTTTGCCTACAACTATCGTATACAACACGCTCGCGTCTGTCGTAGGCGAGTTGTAGGCTTGATTTACACGCTACGACTCAAGTTGTTGGGTGGCGTGAGCGTGTTGTATAAGATAGTTGTAGGCGAAAATCGTGCCGTCTAAACCGACCTTAATAAACTACCTAGGATTCATTCATTAAAAAAAATAAATAAATAAGAAGGATTCATGGTTGTGTTTGTTGCGGCCCATTTTAGACTCACATTAAAGTAGTCGAAATGTTAATAATGAAATAATATTTAAGGGAATGACAAGTAATCTGAAATGGGAAAGCGTTACGCCCAAGATTTATCTAACCAAGCACAGCGCGCAAAATAAGTACTGTTCTTGATGATAATTAGATATATGGAGACAAATCGGAAGTTGACACGACACATGTTGGTCGAGTGCTTTAGCTTATTCCTGCCTGCAGATTCCTATATGCTTCCCCTAAAAGAACGTATTGGTTTAAAAGAAGAAAACGCACAAAAAAAACCAACGTTGAAAAAGACAGGGTCATCACCAAACACAGATTATGAGAGTGGGTTGGGATTGTTACAAAGCACAAGTTGTGCTCTTGTGCTCACAGATTATGAGAGTGGGTTGGAAGGGTTACAAAGCACAAGTTGTGCTCTTGTGCTCACAGATTATGAGAGTGGGTTGGGAGGGTTACAAAGCACAAGTTGTGCTCTTGTGCTCACAGATTATGAGAGTGGGTTGGGAGGGTTACAAAGCACGAGTTATGCTCTTGACCGATTCCGTGCGAAGAGTGGTAGATAATTTATGCAGAGGGTATTTGTGGACCAATTAATCCACAGACAGGGCTTATAATAACAACGGATTGTTTTGATAGTATAATACATGCAGATGACTTTGAATAGTTCTTACCTTCTGTTCCCATGTCTCCCAAGTCTTTATACTC